CATTGATGGATATATATATTACTGGACTGGACATTACGTGATTTATCGTAAGTCACACATGCGCCATTGCTGTCCATTGAATCAGGAATATCGGTGGTCAGGAAACTACGACAATCACGCAAAGAATCAGAACAACGGACGCAATGTTTAGCAGTTAAGTCAATCATAGATAATGGTAATAAGGGCTTCAGATTTCACAGGTGAGGAAAAAGTTTTAATTTAAAGAAAAGATTGAACAAGTGAGCAGTGGGTCAGTTATACTAGCCTAACTGTTGCTGGCCTGCTATTGACTTTGATAACCTTAGCATGTGCTGCGCAGTTCGGTGTGTTTTGGTTCCGTTAGCACTAACCAGCCCGCCCCCAAGTCATCAGTAGAGCAGCTGTTTAAATCAGCTAATCAACCACCGCGGTGTTCAGGCGAAAACTTATTAATAATCACAATATAGACATTAAGCCTGACAACATAATGCAACAGACTGGATGTTCTGTTTTAGTGTTTTTGCTACTTTTTGTGTGGGAAATGTTTGCTTTTTGGTGTTGATTCCCCTGATCGGTAATCTCTGCTCTCTCTGCTCATTGAGCTGTTGTTTGTCGGTTGCCATGGCAACGGGTCCTTGTGTAATGCCGACATACAGAGGGAGAAAAGGCGGAATAGAAGTTGATGGAGGTATTTTTTCTTTATTTCCTTATCCATTTGAATTTTGTTACTTTATTCTTAAATTTCTATTTTTTTGTACTATTTACAGGGTATTATTTGTAGGTTGATAATTGTTGATTGTATTTATTTTTTGTTTTATTATTTTTCTTATTTATTTTCTAAATTTAGACAGGAAGTAATGTGGGTCAGTCCACTTTCTATAAGCTTAGGGGCCTGAAGGACCAGCAGGCATTTGGGTTTGGGGCCGATGGTTTTTACCAGAGCAAGAGTGGTAGCATGAGAACAAATGAAAGTTTGATCTCTGTAATTATTTGGTGAAAGAGGGAAATAAATCACCAAGAACAATCAATAAGTTTGGAAATTCAACCTTCTTTTGCCCGTGTCGAGAAACATGACCCCAGTGCCTTAGTTGTGGTGTGGTGGAACTTTTATTGGATGTTTGGCTTGGCAAACAATCAGAAGTGGTTCTGTCTAGTTTGGTTCTTCATCTGTTTATCAGCTTTATTGTGGCGCACTGCAGCTGCTGCAATTCCTAAAAACAAGTGACAAAAACTGAGCTAATCCCCTGTGTTCGCAAACTGTGGTGATATTTATAACAGTCATCAAACTACGGCTCCTACAGCATGTTTAAAATAAAATGTTTGACCAATATAAATAGAAAT